TAAATGACATTTTGTTATGTTTAATTATCATATTTTTCGAAATTTATTATTTTAACACAAAACAGTATTATTTTATAACTCCATTAGTTAAATTAACATTGTTGTAATTAAATTAACGACATATTGAGTAGGAACAGTGACGGCTTATAGGAATGGTTAAAAATGACTCAAATTGAATATAATTTAACACTATACGAATTTAACAGTGTAGTTAGGGTTAAATCTTTTCCATTTATCTTTATTTGTATCTATAATACCTAAATTTATACGTTACGTCAACTTTATCGTTTTTGCATTCTTTATTCTTAGCTATTCTAGTCTTAATTTCAGACTGGAATATCGCGCCAATATACATCCTGACGCTTCTCATAAAAACACTACTCGAATTGCTTCGCGTGTCGAGAAACGAGCGTGTCTTCTTGCTGTAGGTAGGTAGACGGGAATCTAAAAGCCGATATTGCTTCGATATGAAGTTGTATCGATATTGCCGCTCGCATAACGGGAGGTCATTACAAAAATCTATTGGCAAAGGGTGAGGTTAACGAAGAAATAATGGAAAGTTGAAAGGGAAGGGCTAAACGCTTTGAATAACCGAGCGCACGGCAATATTTTTCATTAATATAAATGGAAAGTCATTTTAGTAAATAATTTTAAGAGCGTTCTTTCTTACGTCTTAAGATGTTAAGGAATTAAATTTTAAGTTTTAAGAAAAGTTGAACGAGAAAAGAAAAGGAAAGAGATAGTAAATTAATTTAGCAAAGGTTGCTGGCGTCAGTTTAAACGCTGCCATACGCGTGCCGTTTGTAATGAATCCAAGTCACGTTTTACCGTCGAGACAGTGAAAATATAAATGTTGCGGCGCTGTCAAAGATAGACAGGAAAACGAGAGAAGAATATACCGGAAATTTCGGTCGGCTAGACAGAAACTCAGGGCGTTGTTGTTTCGTCGACGGAGCACTGCTTGTTTGCGGCGACATATCCTGTTATCGCTGTGTATCGGTTTTCGTTTTTCCCGCGTACATCCTAAATAAAGATCGAACAAATATTCGTCGATAAAGTCAGTTGATATCGTACACAAGGCGTATCTTCCCTATGACAATAAGAGAGGGACATGAGTGGAAGTGCACAAATGGCTGAAAAAAGTGAGGACGGGAAGAACGAAATAGGATTCTATACAGTTATAAATGGTCTAAGAGACAAGCGAACAATTCGATAAATCGTCAGGAACAAAATATATTTCAATCGAATAAAATTTAATTATCCGCTTGATTTATCGACTTTTTTTTATCAAAAGCTTTTTTTCGTGTCGTTTCATTAACTAAAAATTACTCTTCACTAAGAGTTCTTAATTTGTTGTTAATCATCTTAAAGGAGGAAAATGTATAACGTAGTCGTTCCTTTTTAACAATTAACTCTTATGCAAGATTTTAAATTTAGGATGTGACTTGGCGTTACATTAACGTGACAAATCAGTAATTTTGATATATTGAGGGATGTTCGCGACAGAGCTATAAAGTTTGACGCAAGCATGTGTCGCTACTTTTGAAAATCGCTGAAAACCCATATTCTATCTATGATGACTATTTGCTTGCATGCATACTTTCCCATTTCCTGCAGCCCTGCGTGCTGCGTCAATATCCATGGCTGTCTATTTCCGACACATTCTTTAGTAAAGAGCAGAGTTTTATATTTATGGACATTCTTTTATAGCTTTGCGACTATATTAGATCTTTTCCTTTCTTTATTTCCAGCAATAATTTAATGCGATTCTTGCGGGTGTGTTAATGTCGCGAGTCCTTAATGCAATGTCTCTTAACAAGCTCACAAGCTTATTGAATACCACAAAGGAAGAATGCGCAAAAGAGAAATTGCGTTCTGTTGAAAAAAGATTTATGTCGTTGCTCAACGAAGAGAAAATAATGAGGAGAGACCAAATGTTGTCGCGAAAGGCTACGTTCTGTGATGCAATTCAGAAAAAGCGTGCTTTTGCGAGCATCTACGTTTTCTTTTCGTTTACTTTTCGTAGTCTGCGTATCACAAGGGAACTGATGCAACAACGAGGAATTAAGGACAATGAACCTTTGCTGAATTGAGCTCGGATACGAAGTAAAGCGAGACTCGAGACAGTGTATTTTATTTTTCCTTTCTTATTTGATAACGCATCGATACCTCGATACCTGGCGCAGATAAATCGAATTACGTCCTCGACAATAGAATTAGTCGGCCAGAACGGGAAATATCTGCAATTTACTTTTATGAAGCTTTACCTAGTGCACACGCGTCATATGGCGTAGCAATAACCGACGTCTGGAATTTTTAGATCGCTCCCAGGAGAATAAACCACGTCTGAAAGCAGTTAGAGGAAACATTTCGGCGACATCGATATCGACAATGAGTGTTAAAAATAGTATTGTAATCAAAGATGGTAGATAACACCTAAGAATTGCTATACTGAAAAAAAAATATAATCTGAAAACATATTTAGTCCGATACGTGTAACACTTTAGGTAGTTTAACTAAACATTAGTTGTTTCAACAATTATTAAGTTGCACTAAAAAAGGTATAGTGCATTCATGTCAACTATCAAAATCTTTTAATCAAGAATTAAATAATTCAACTAATTTTTAAATTAACAATTTTTTTCTCAGTGTCTAAATTTCAATCGTACAGCGAACAAGCGCTCGAAAATTTTATTTTTTATATTTAATTCTTAATAAATAACCGCACAATAGCGTCGGGAATGAAAAAGTTAATTACAATAGATATAAAGTTATCACGCCGTTGTTGATTGGCGATAGTAACTTGAGTTATTTTCGCGCTCGCATATATCTAATTCCACCATCGCCCACTCCCCCCGCACGCGCATTTATTTTTCTCCCCGTAATATCATACATATTTCATATTTCTGCGGATATTCAACCGCGCGCGGCATTGTTTACGGAAAAAATCGGCGAGTGTAAATTCAAAAACAGCATAGACCGCGAGATAGACCGTGCCGTTGCGGGTTACATCTGCTTCGCGTGGAGAAAATCCCGATCGTTTTACAAGCTCGTTCGCAGCTGTATTCTCTTCGTTCGGCGATCGCCGCCATCGTTGCGCGACTCCGGCCGCAGAATAAAACTACAATTCTCCACTGGGCTTACCATTTCGACGGGTCGAACAAAGCGGTTCAGCAAAAAGGGATCGGAGTAACAGCGAGGATAGAACAAAATCGGGCGTCCTGCACGACGGTAGCCGGAGGCGTTTGCAAGTTTCAACTGGCCGGGCGTTTAATACAACATTTGGCCAGGGCGTTTAATTCACTTTAATTAATTCCTTACCACCACGACTCGCGATCGAGCGCGTAAATCGTTCTGAAGTCGACAATAGTGCTGGAAAACGCTTTGGAATAGGTTCCCCGAACCCTTTATTGTTTCCTCGAGCAACATTGTTTCCTTAAGAACCTTCGATACGGCGGCTGTGATCTTTCATGTACCGAAAAGCTGCATTCTCGCGGTGAACGATCAGAAGGTAGGACCCGAAAGCCATAATTCTTTGTCAACGAAAAAGGAATTGCAACGTCGTGATATTCGAACAGACGTACAAGACGCGATTTTCGATGAATTAAAAATGCTCGGAGCTCTTCTCAGTAATCTATCCCGTGATTCGTCTTTTATTTTTTCTGCTCATCCCTTTGAGATCGAAGTTCATTATCTGCAGCAGATCGTGAACTTATTTGACCGACCCGTCTACGAGAGATATTGCAGAAATTGAAATCTAATAATACGCCATTCCGATAGCACGTTGAATCGTTCTAGATATGGACCATTTTAAGATGAAACCATCCGCTGCATGCTATGCCATCGCCGTAAGAGCACAGGCGCTGCAACAATTGCGTTATTTCGATATATGGGCTCTGCTCGCGATACGGAAAGTGTACGCGGAGGTTTCCTGCTCTCTATCAAACGATTCCGCATCTCCTCGCTACATTTATGATTCTTTTGTCATCGATTTTTTTTCTCGGCAAACAACGGGAGAAATTATTCTTTCCATTTGCTGAGTTCTACTACGTTCTTATCAGGCAAATATACAGTTTGCTCTTGTTTCGTCATGTAAGTTAATTGTACGCATGATACTTTTTTTTACAATTTTTTTGCTTATACAATTACTTTTATAACGTGGTTCTTTTTAAATTTAATTTTTTGTTTAATGAATAAATGGACGGTACATACCGCGATCTCGAAATAATATTCGGTAGCAGCGCGTAATATGGAGAAATAAATTGAAATGTCTATCGTCAACAACGCCTCTTGTGTGGCTTCATTGACGCTGAAAAGAGGAAATGAAATTTCAGGATAGACATCGCGCGACGTAAGGCATTCTTGCACTTTAAAAATATCGCCATTCGTTTATTGACTCTGTTACTTATTTCTCTTTGACGCAACGAAGCGTGCTTTAATCTTGTATTAATTTCCTTTTCAACCCCTTGTCAAGCTTTGCGTGTTGCTTTACATATGTATAAGAAGCCGATTTTACACTGGTTTGAGGGATACCTGTATTTGTTGTATTTGTAAATGTTTTGACATGTCTGCAACAAAATATTCATTTTTAATTTTACTCGCAAAGAGATAGTGCGTGCGTATATTTTTTGATATTTTTCTTTACGCAGAAAACATGGTATCAGAAATCTGATAGCTACCTAAAACAATTCTTTGTTTTAAATTTTAGAATACGCGTTTGATCACAAAGAAAGAAAGAAACGTTTTTATATTTTATATTTCGCTGTTACGTAAGAGACTAGGATTGTGCGCGAATTTCTCCTATACAAGATGTTCCATAAATTGAAATCTTTACGGCTTTGACTAAACTTATCCGGGAAAAAGCATCGCGCGAAGATTGGATTACGTTTACGAATGAATTCTGCGACCACAAACATATATGTTCTATCGCTTCTCATCGTAAAGGCGCAAATACGATTGCTTCGCTGATTGTATTGCTCGAAAGAAATATCGCGAAAGTCACATTTGTAACGAATTGTATTTAACAGGATATTTAATATAAAATAGTTTACAAATTTACATGTGAAAATATATAGTAGCATATATAGTCAGCGGTTATGAAAACGTTAAAGTCACTCTCTCTCGACAATACCGGAACTCTGGAGGGTTTCCCATTACATTTTCTTTTTGTTCTTTACTGCGGAACATTTTCGCGATTTTTCAAGCGTCTCTTTCTCTTTCTCTTCATCTCAATGTTTAACCGTCACCTACGATTTTTACGCTCCCCGTATAAGAGATGCGGCATGTTTACTAGAAATTTTTACTTGCCAGTCCTTTTTATTCCCATTTCTCTCTCACACAGTTCTCCTTACTTAAATATTTTATCTTGTATGCACGAGAAACTCTGAAGTCTGACGTCCCGTTAAATATCCGATCCGACTAACATCTAGCGCGGAAAAAAGGAAACGAGAAAAGCTCTAAAGACAGTATAAAGTATAAAGACAGTGTTTCTCGTAGAGGAGTTTTAATAAATAAATGTTGAATTTCGCGACGACCGTAATCTCTTGGGAATACTAGCGAAAAATACTCACAGTTGAAGGAACACGAATGAAACCATCAGTATGAATTTACGCAACATGAACGATATTAATAAAAACCACTTTATTTTCTGATAGCACGAGAAAAATCGTGGTAAACGCAAACCGCGAAGCAAAGGCGATTTTACCTTTGCGTTCCGGTTTTTATAGCCTGAAAAGCGTACACCAAACGTACGTTTTATACACAGCTGAGAGTAAGTAATCGCCGTTTCAAAGTTCGTCGCTTTGAAAAGAGCGTCCGATGACGTTGTCTCGTAAGTAAGTTTGCACCGCGTCGAACGAGAGGTGCGACACGTTCCTTTTTGTCACGCCATGTTACTTCGCTCCTGCGAACATTCAGCGGTCTCCGTCTTCTTCGCGCCGCCTTCCAGAAGTTCTTGAATTTCGCGGAACGTCCGACCTTTGGTCTCGGGCACGATGAATATCACCATCACGAATGCCAATAAGCACGACGCCGCGAAGAAGTAGTAAATAACATCGGTGCCCAACCAGTCGCCGATCACCTGATACAGCTTGGTTACGGCGAAGCCAAGCACGCCGTCAAAAATGATGACGATAGCACCGGCGGCCGCCTTCACCTCGGTGGGGAACAATTCGCCGGTCAGCGCGTTTGGTAGAGTACCCAATCCGATTTGATAGACCACCTGGAAGACGATCACATCAATTACCGGAAGAAGATTTGCTGCTGATACATCAACGCCCCTCGCGTCTAGCGTAAGGTACGTCGCAAGAACCGCCAGGGTAATGGAGGCGCCCAGAGTGGAAGCGATCAGTAATGGGCGTCTTCCCGCACCCTCGACGGTCGCAGTTGATAATCCGCATGAGACGAGGCTCACCGCGAGCACGAGTATCGTAGCTATGCTAGAGTCAATGCCGATCGCCGTTTTCTTGAAGAGCACTTCTAGATACTGTATAGTGCTGAAGTTTCCACTAAGTTGCTGCGTCGCGATTAGACCGAGTATAATGCCGAGAGCTCGGGTGTTGCTGGGTAACATCAGCAGCTTCAGCTTAGCCATCCAGCTGCGCTTAACCGGTTCCGTTCGTGCTCCAGGACCGGTTACTGGAGTATTATCACAAACGTCCTCGATAAAAACATTACGTAAAGTGTATTCCAGTTCTCTCCTTGCCTCGTCGCGATCGCGAATCCCTTTAAAGAACGCCAGGGATCTGGTGGCTTCCGCTCGGCGGCCCCTGGCCGCGAGAAAGGCGGGGGTCTCAGGAAACCAGGAGAAGCATGCCACGAAGATGATAGGTACCGTAAAGAGTACGGCCGTTAAAGCTTGATACGATATCCACGGACCGATACTGCACGTCAGCAAGGAACCGGTGAACACGTTCACGGCGATCAAGGTGCCAAGGGCACCTCTGATTTCGACGTCGGCAACCTCCGACACGTACATCGGATTGGTGGTATACGCAATGCCTACGCCGATGCCGAGGATCACCCTAGAGACGTAGAGGGCAGCGACGGTCTGGGCGAAGAAGACGACTATCCAACCAACGATGAAGAAACCGCTGGCTAACAGAAGACACCTCTTACGTCCATATCGATCGGCGAGGCTAGCGCCGAGAAACGGACCGATCATCGAGCCGATCACCGTCAGCGACACGATCCACGAGCCCTCGTCATCGGTTATCTTCATGGGAACATCGCTGGCGCCGGATGTGAGCCGCGAGAGCGACGTGGTGGTCCATCCGTAAACGGTGCCGACCGCGACCATGGATAGAGTCGCTGCGAAGTTGAGATTGATGGAAGATTAATGGCGGTTGATTGAACAATTGATTTTTTTATATCACCTAAGAGCGCGATATCTCATGAAATATGACGCAAACCTGATATGCACGCCAGCCATTGCCTCCATTGCGTCTGTTTGTGCTTCGTCGTTTTTTCGTCGCAATGCTTGTCCTGGGAAGGCGAAACTTGCGTCACGATCTCCCCTTTCGATCTCGCTTCTTTTAGCACGTTGATCTGCGATAAAAATTGATATAGATTTTGTTAAGAGGAAAATGACAGTTTTCTTTGCTGCTATGCGATGTTTATAGCCGCACGAGCTAAAGCAACACGAATATTTTAGCTCTCTTTCTCCTGCTTAAAATTAGTTTTGCAATTATATTAAATTTCCTTCTCTTTATTTAAATTTTGCGACAATTATATATTAATGCTACAGATTAAAAATTAATCACTTTTTTTACCACTGAAGTGATTTACGAAATATTTTTGCGAACGCTAGAACGTCGTTGACGATTCGACAATGCACCTGATACTTGTGCGTACATCTCCTTGCGCGTGACAGAATGCAGAAGTCTTTTCCGTGCGAAGCAACAGGTGATAGTGATTAATGTGGCATGTAAGAAATCAAATGAAAACCACAGTTTTCTCTTGAAGAACCCAGAAATTCCGCGATTTTGTGATCTATATTGACATGCGAAAGAATTATCCTCGGTAACCTTCGCTCACAATGTAGAGCTGAGAAAGGTTTTAGAGTTTCATTAATGAGAAACGTAATGCGTCATAAGAATGTTTGCCAAGTTAGTCTCGTGTAATCGACGTTTACCGTTCTCCGATCGAGCATGGCGCCAAGATGAGGCGGCGATCGACTGCACATGCGCACTGGCATTTTTAAAGAACGATACACCGCTCTTCACGATCGCGTGTCCGCTCGCGACATAACCTAGCTGGATCTCATCAACGGCAACTACACGAACTTATCGCGATGGCTCGGCGCACGCGAGAACGTTGACTTCGATAAGCGTGCGAGCAACAGCGAAAATGTATCTTGCCTTTTGCCTCGTGGTACTCACCAGGATTATGGACATTATGGTGTTCGCGCACCTTTTCGCGATTTTTCGGAGCCACCGCGCGAATCTGCTGGCAAACCGTTTGAAAACGAAATTAGACGGAACACCCATGCTTGTCCCGGAATCGACAGGACGCCGTCGATCTTTCGTCCCGAGTTTATTTTCGGCAGCATGCCGCGAACGTGTGCGATGCGTGCATCTGTGCAACAAAATGGAGCACACGAGGCACACAAGGCATTACATAACACGATATCGGTCAATGCCCCGTCGCATACTCCAATGTGTGAGCGTTCCCCATTAAGTGTCCTGAGTATAGCCAAACGTGGTGTGATCGATCAACCCGATCATATTTGGAGAGATCCTTTTGACTTTGCGAGATGCATGAAGTTTGAATTTCTCGATTCACGTGAATTCTCTCTCTCTCTTTCTCTCTCTCTTTCTCTCTCTCTCTCTCGTTTGAAACGCGATGCCTTGCCAGTGAATAATCTCGACCGCTTTAGCAAGTTTAGTTTACTAAGAACTATTTTATGACGATATTTTGCAAGATGCGCATTAAGAGATTGCAGGAATCTTGTACATTCCGTTCGTGTTTTCCTACTTCACGTGAAACGATCCGTAAGAACTGTGTCCTCTGAATCGCAAAGCATGCTTACAAGACATTACTCCGGTATTAGTTTTATTCACGGATTGCGATTTAGAAAAACAAAACGAAAGCTGGAAAATTCCGAAGAAATTCGCCCGTAGACACTCGACATCGCATACCCTATCACGTGCACTCGCGCGTACGCACGCACGCACGCACGCTTCCGTGAAAGTGAAACGCTTATCTACCATTTCTGCTGCGTACATTCGTGCATGCACTCGTGCGTGCGTTCGTCTACGCATAACCTCAACTAAAAATGAGTTTTTATCTGGCCGTGAAACACTTCGCGGGAGAGCGATAAAAGTAACGCGAGCTCGACGAAAGCAGGACGAGATCGATACTCACCAGCGGGTCCGCCGCTCCTGTCATACCTTCGTCGCACCGACGTCGCTTTAAAACGACAAGTGCGATCTAATTATAAAAACAGTATGCCCCGCGCGATTAACCAACAGCTCTTCTCGGAGATGACCACTTTCCACGATTTAGTTGATATTTCGACCGTGTTCGTGGAACCGGATACGTCGGGGAAACGCGCACGCGCCGACACTCTGCTTTCGCGCTCGCGTACATATCGCTCGTCTTCCTTTCTTTTGCATCTCCGTTCTTTCCGTTTTTTTTTCTTTTTTTTTACATCACTCTCTCCTGATGTTCCGCGTATACGATCCCTCCTTCTAGCAACCGCGATATTTATAAACGTCGCGATGGTGGAGGTCATCGGTTGACGGTCTTTCATTAACGCATTCCAATCGTGTAGATGTTGCAGAAAGCAATTAACAAATAAATGATCTTTTCTGGTTGATTTAGAAATGTATAGAAATTGATAAACAATATCTATGCATTAATTATTATAGCATTAATTAGGATAAACTCGTATAAGATGGTCATATAGGAAAGATGGCCTATACGTTCTTTTAATCTAGCTCGCATTGAAACATCGAATGAACATGAGTTGGCTATCTTTCCTATATGGCTATCTTACCCGAGTTTACCCTATTTAGTTGTTACAAATTAATTGATAATATTAACAAGCAATTATTATAACAACTATAATTATTGCTACATTTTGAGCAATTTCGTGCAACGAAAGGTAACAAACATAATCGAGGATAAATTAAGACACGAGATAAATTTTACTCTATATTATTAGAAATTAAATAAAATTCAGTTATTCAAAAATTGCAATAAAAATAAATGTTAACGAGGATCTTGTTAATTTAATATAAGTGTAATGAATACGTATATAAAATTACAACTAATAATATACTAATAATATATGTAAATTGATTATCTAAATATTGTGTTACGTGGTAGCAAGTGTCGATTTCGTTCGTTTACGGCTTACGCGGCAACAAGAGAAATCGGAGCAGCGGTGCATTGCAGCTGCGACGCGCGAACGGAACTGTGTCACTTACATTCGTGGTCGTAGCCATGTAAGACGAGAATGGAACGGCTGTCCTATTTCTTCTGGCGATTCCGGAGCTTCAGCCTTCAACGAATCCAACAAGTAGTTTCCTCGAGCTTTATCGAATGCCTTTAATTTCAGGTCAGACGGGTATCGATACTTTCAGTTGGAAACAATACGATATTGGAACACATACGGGTAGAATGTGGTCGGCGGTGTCGCTCCTCTTTCTGGCTGGCTCCCACTGAGTTTTCCGCTCGTATAGTCACACCTTTCGGAATATTGCTTATGTGTGTGGTGTTGTTAACACATTTAATTATATAATTATTGAATTTCTCTCTTTGTTTTATTTTTCTCCAAATCATAATCGAAACAAATATATCGAAGACGAATAGAAATACACGGCAACAATATTACTTCACTGTTTCATAATATAGCACGTATTTATTTTACATATATAATTATAAAGTTTATTCCGAAAATATTTAAATATAAATACATTAATTAATACCGATCGAAGATTATTTTCGTCTGTATCTGTATGCTTGCCGCGATTGCACGAAACACTACTTCGATTAACAGTCCAAAATAATATGTTCAATTTTTATTACTCCGTCGGTTTTTTCTTTTGTTCTTATTCCCGTATCTGTTTCGCGACGTATCTTCGCGAAGTTTTCGAAGATTGAAGCAATTAAGCGCCTAATTACCAGCCGTAATTATCAGTCGATTTTAGCGGCTAAGCTTCTCGCTGCTTCCATCGCCCGCAAATAACAAACTAAACACTGGTAACTTCTGAAGTCCGAAACCGCATTGGATCAAGTCAGCCGCGTCTTATCGATGCGGTCCGATCAATCTAATATATCTGTTACTTCATAATCAGCTCCAGAACCGTGGCACAGACGACTCACCATCGCCCTCGCGTCTAATTGTCCTTAATTCGACTGCCGTTAATTACAAGCTAGTGCACCATTAAGTACCACTGCGCGTAGAAATGATAACTGAAGGCCCTCGTGACACGCGTCTTCTTTCGCTGATTGGTAACGAGCAACAGGCAGCCGCTCGTCGTTCCCACATAGTGGTGCGATTCATGATTGATGGAGAGAGGAGACGCATCTTAGTGCCTCCTTTATGTGCTTATCTCCCGCGTGTTCTCCATTATCACAAGCGGACCGATATTTTTCCCCGTACAAACCCACGAGGATTCGTCGCGGCTTATCGCACGTCGCGCGTCTGCGATGTATGTATGTTTCTCAAATAAACTGTGACAACGGATACAGTTGTTAATTGTCGCCGGCGAGAAAATGTCAAGCATCGAGTTGAACCGCTCAATCGGTCCCCACGAACGACTCGATTTATCCAAGTCCTGTCCGCCATCGTCGAAACCCATTAGCGTCGAGTATAGAGGAAAGAGAAAAACACGGACAAAATAGGAATTTTGTCTTTGTTTTTTTTTTTAATTGGATAGGCGAAGGATGGCCTGGACGTGAAGGGTACCTTTCACGTTCTGGAGTACCTTTTCGGTTCTAGCGGCGGAAAAGGGAATCGATCGAAGTCTTAATCGTGCGCTTTCGGCGATTCAATAACGGGAACAACGAGCACGCGATGCGTCAAAGGGATTTATTGCGTTTCGGAGTTAAGCTGATTGCGTTTCAGAACGGATTAGTTTCGGTTCTCTTGGAATACGCACGATCTGGGATAATCTGACATTTCAAAGCTGTGGCTATGCAGGAGTTTCCAGTGATCCAAAGAATTTATTCCGACGTGACACATTAGTAAACTGATCTTTGATTGCTGCCGCAGTCGGACGTGAACTGACGTAGATTTTTAGCTGCAAGACACGTAATTCGTTAACAAAACTACTGCTATCAAGAAAATTCCATTGTATCCGTCCCCACTTCCATATCTATAACAACTTAAGAGCAAATTTACTTAAAGACTTTGTTCTGATAAGTTAATATGTTGTTAATGCCGTTACATTGATTATCACTTACTCAAGCAGTTTAGACATTAAATTAATCAGATTTCTTTTTGCGACGGAAGACAATAGATTGATAGAAATTTTAATTACGTACTCCGCCTTCTGAGATTGCTAAGATCCATTCAACATGTGTGTCAACTTAATTAATCATAAGAGTACTGACAGATCAAGCTTGATATATTATTAACGAGCGATGAACGTCACGTTGCGCTTGTTCCATGATTAATTTCTATGCAAGCTTCGGTCTCAATTGGCAAATACAAGTGTAATTTCAATGTAACAGAAATTTATATTTGTAAACGGAGTACACTGAATTGTCCAAACGTTTTAATAGAATATTGCATCAATCTAAATTGAAATTTATGTAAACTTATGTAATTTGAAATTATTAAATAGGTCATTATTATATAATTGCTGTATCTCATTATTTACACAATTCTTGAAAAGTAGTTATTCAATATATTTTGCTATTAGCCATTTTATGTATAGTATGATGTTGTCAGTGAGATTGTTATTATCATTACGTTGCATTTCACGCTTGTTATATTGCGAAACAAAATGTCTCGCTTTATATTACTCGCATAAAACCGTCATCATGAATGTATAATTAATTTATGAATGTTATCTTCTTAATTACTGAAAATCGTTTTTTACCTTGCAACTGGCTACATCGAGATAGACTTTTCGTCGATTTAAAGCGATTTTGCCACCGTCATTAGTGAGATAAGAACATCTTGATAATGGCAATTTCGTAAGAATTCTCAACCGATTTACAAACAACTACGATCCGTTTTTTGTAACTGTTTTTGTTTGCCAAGACGTATGATAATAGGATTCAATCTAGATTTTGGATTTTGTCGATCCACCGAGGATAAATCTGGACTGGAACTGTGAACTGCCCTTTCAGATTACATACGAAAATATCTATTTCTATTTTAGTTTTATATTTATATCTTATAACGATTCTTCGATTTATTTTTCTCGTTATCTCTAAGTGATCTCACGTAACATTATAAATCACTTATAAGTCTTGAGAGAAAGGGAAATTTATATTAGACAAATTTATTCCACCCTCTCGAATAAAGTAATGGCAAGTCTCTTTACCGACTTAATGCATTTCGCGACAAATTGCTTCAGTCTACGTTCCTTACAATTACGTAAATCGTCATTGTCTCAACTATTTCTGTTCAACAACTGGTTGCTACGCCAGTTGCGCGAAGCGAAGGCGCTTTTGATCCTAACGAAACGTAACGCCGTGCGATTCGTGTCTCAAGCGAAGAATCGCGCTTGCTCGTGTTTGAACGCAGCTCGGCTAGCTGCGCTCCCGCGTCGTTACGTCGCGAGCGTAAAGTTAATTAAAGTAATCCTCAGTTAATCGGCGTCGCCCGGGGCCCGGAGTCCGCGCGCTCGCGCGCTCATTATGTCGTCCTTACAAACGCGAATATGTGCGGCAGACGCCTGCCGCTCGGAGCGATTAAAATTTAAAGTGGCGCGCACGCAATTTGCACGGCGAAACGAGCCTGGCGAAAATATCGACCTGTTCCTTTTGACTTTTCCCTGCGTTTTTCGAGCCAAAGAACGCCGCGTTTATTTGCCTGTCCGCTCGTTAACGTTGCATCTAGTTTTGTTATTTTGCAGTGGATATTTAACAAAGTATAACGTACTAACATTTTCAATAGATAATAAAATTAAACTTTATTATAGTTCTATTAATTCTTTTATACCTCCATGATTTATAAAAAAAAAAAACAATCTGTATTGAGATTGATGAACCGATTCTCTATGGTGATTTCAACGGCTTTAATTTGATTATAACGATTTATGTGATAAAAAAGGTCGATTTAGATTATTCGCAGATAGAACAGATTATTCGCTCGAAATGCTCTAAATGTCTGCGTAACTTATTGAAATATTTTTATTTATTTCGTGCATGGTTTGCGTGTTATCGCGCTTTGTACAGTCTTCCATATATTGTTCTGCGTATCGAGTGTATAAAGCACTATGTCGAGATATACAGGATGACACTCGAAGCTTATATAACGATTTCGATGAAATATCGACGTTTCAATCCTCCCCGTTCCTTTAATCTTTTTTTTTTCTATCTCAGTTTCACTGATAAATCCATTTATCCATCCGGAGCAGTCCGACATCCATTAGATCTCTTTTTTTCTATATCAAAGGATAGAAGATATTAGAAGTGAAGAAAGGGATACGTTCATTAGGCTTTTTGCGTGACAGTTGACAGATTTTTGCGGTAAGATTTTATATCGGGATCGAAAAAATAAGTATCGGGGGAAGATTCTTGTAGGAAGATTTACGGTTCCGCGTCGCTAAATGTGCGGAAGTCGATTTGATTAAATTCACATTGGTATGAATTTTGCCTCAGTTGGGTTTCAGGCGAGTCACGTTCGATTTTGCGGCGCTCTGTGTGTTACCGCCGCGCCGTAACGAGTGCGCTACACGTCATATTATGCGGAATAAATCAGCGCCGATGCGGGATTATATAAGACATTAATCTTTTCAAGACGCGCGATTTTTCACCCTCTTATTGATCTCCCGACAAGAGCAATGACTTTCGACGTTTCACGGGCCTGTGGACGGCTACATGTTCGCGATGAAAAATTCATGAGGCGCTATGTAACGCTTATGTAACACGCTTGCCGTACATAAGACACGGTTCGCGGTAATCCCTGATTCGTATCGACATTGTGTCACGCGAGTCATAATTGTTGCGCTCACTGAAAGTATGAAGTATAGGATTGAATTATTTATGTATACTCTCTTTGCCGTGTACGATGTCGTAAAATTATGAATTCCTTGTTTTAAAAAACACTTAGAATAATGAATATTTTAGCGGTATTATCTGCTGTTTTATAAGCCGCGTAACGAGGCTGCTATTTGTTGTAGTTTTTTAGAGTTTCAAGGGTATAAAAGTCAGACTAGAAAGAGAGAATTCATTCTCGCAGTAAAGTCAACGTATATTCTCCATAATGTACGTTCTTGTAAATTTTCGCGAATTACTCGGCGAGAGTTAATAAGTGCCGGCTCTCCCTAACTACGTAGATCTCTTATATTAAAATTCCATATTTTTAATTGTCTCATTTATTATCCTTCATGTGATACGACTTGCACATGTTCATATTTGCACATGTAGCCATTCTATTTTTAGCATTTTATTTTATGTGTTTTATTTAGCTCATTTTGTAAAGTCGCAAATTGAACCACATTGTTGTTGAAGCTTTGTGAGAAGCCAATGCGTGAAGTATTTATTGAGGATATTTGCGATTAAAAAAAAACTGCGGCGTTGGTTCCTCTTTAACGGCGCCGTATGAAAATTGATTTGTTTATCAAGATACAATGTAAATAAAAGTGCAAATATTTTCTCAATTGTATAACATTTCAAATGAAATAGAATTTGCCTAAATTATTTATGTTTTATTTGTTTTATTTACTGTTCTTTATAATGCATACGAGAATTACAGGCTGATAGTGCGTGTATTAATCGTGAGAGAAATATTAGAAAGATAATGAAAAGTTAACCAACACGGGTGTTGATAATTGTAAAGACGGTTTTTATGTAAGTGAAGATGCGTGCAATTATAATTTGGACAGCCGGTTTGCACTATCGCATTAATCATAGCTTCGTTGTAAGCCTTTCAGCAATGATAACGCATAATGATAACTTACACAAACGACTGATTTACGACCAGAATTGACAGTTGCTAGACCAAGCTGTTAAATGTCACGATTAAACCCGCGCAAACTCGGACAGCTCGTGCTTTCTGTATAGCGGATTAAGTAGCGATCAATGGCTGTGATGCGAATTAGAATGAATAAATACAAATCAATTGCAAAATACGTAACAACAAATTAGCAAACGCCAGATTAATCTGTCCAATCCACTTCAAATAGCTTATCATTTATGATGTGCTTGAAAATTGCTCAATATTCCTTGCAGCATTTTCTAAATAATCTTGTGGATGATGCAAGAAGACTAAAATACTACGCTTTCGCTTTTGCTTATCGACAATTTTTCGAATGAGCGATAACTTTGCATTACGGGTCATGTTATTTAATTAGGCGAACTAAGTCCACTTTAATTAGCTTATTATTTATGATGCGCTGGAAAATTGCTCAATATTCTTTGTAGCATTTTCTAAATAATCTTCTGGAAATGCAAAAAGACTAAAACACGCGCGATTTTGCTTTTACTTATTCGCCAATTTTCCGAATAAGCGATAACTTTGCATTAGAGGTCATGTTATTTAATAAGATGAATTTTTCATAAAATTTGCTTTCGCGATTTCGTAAAAAGGAAGAGATAAAATTGCTGCAAAAAATTTTCAAGTATCCTATCACACTCCACAATATGATATGGTAGAAGTGAAAACTACGTGTCGTGATAATTCTCTCTTTTTCCGCATTTTTCTCGTGATGAGCTCTATTAATTTTGCTTTTACGTTTTTCCTGACTCGCTAATAGCGACAATTACGTGGTTTTCGACGCACGCGTTTATGCTTTAACTCCTCGTATGGTGCAGTAATTAATCGGAGCATGCAGCGAGTCGCGAATGGAAGTCGTACGCATAACGTAATCTCTAATGAGGAGTCATGTCGAGGCTGAATTTTTACTCGCTCTATATGAAGTACGCATATATGTATGATTATTGAGCCGTATGATCGTCAAAGCTACTATATATGTTATCAATACTGATAGCCAATGTCAGTAAAATAAAAGATAAAAGTTTTACGCGCTACATCAATCGACACTGCATGAAATGATCAAGTTACGAGATAGATAAAATTACATTGCTGTTTGTTCGAACTACACTGTAATAGATGATTGATACATCCCGTACGCATCTGTGCCAAAAATAATATGTAATTAAATTATCAACATTTGTTAAATAACTCGTGCCTTCTGCAGATTTATTCGCGACGCGTCATATTCTAATTATTTTCACGGCTTAATAGGCTTATATAGGACTTACCTCACGAGGAGAATGATTTTGCAGTCTAAATGCTCATCCATCCTCGCTTGTCTCCGCTGTTGTCACGGAGGCGACAGCAACTTGGTCGCAATTTAATTGCTGTCCTTCACTTTATTCATCCAACTGAGAGAGAGTCT